ATAGTCCAGTGTTAACCCTACAATGTCACACCAGGACTCCAATCTAAGGATTGTTGTTGGTGTTTAGTGCCATTGAGTCAGTTCTGACCCATAGCGACCTGTATAGGGTTTTTGAGGAACGACTGGTGAGCTTGAACCACCGACCTTGTGGTTCATACTGACCTTGCAGTCCAGCACATTATCCTGCAATGCCACACCTGCCTGCCACACTAAGGAACGCACCCTAAAAATAGAGTAGAAAGTAATTCTAGTAGTGATTTTAATTTACTGACCTTGGAATCGGTGATATATTTTGTTTTACCTGTGACTTTTTGTGCTTTCCTGTTTTTTTGTGACAAACTTGGAATAAAGATTCAAATGATGTTAGTTTTTAAGTATTGCAAAGATCCACTGCTGCAGAAAGTCATTAAATGTCACTCACATCCTCATCTAGCTTTTCATGCTCCCTTATTTTCTCTTCAATATACAAAAATTTGCTTTTTTTTTTTCCATGTACTTTATTTTAGAATAAGTTTTAGATTTGTAGAAAAATTGCTAAGAAAGTTCCCATATACCCTTTTCCCATTATCCCCGTAATGTTAACATCTAGTCAAAAGAAGACTCTAAGGCCAAGGGACCCTTAGGAAAAAATCTTGGAATTCTCAAAACTATGCAGAATATAAAAGAAGTATATCAAATTCTCAAAAAAGCATATACTTCTTAACATACATGAAATGTAAATTTGATCAAAACGTTTTAGATAAATATATTGTTAAGGAAATTATTGACAAAAGTAGCTTAGCAGTTGAGGAACCCTGGTGGCAAAAAAGGTTAAGCTCTCAGCTGCCACACAAAAGGTAGGGGGCTTAATCCATGGAGTCATTCTGCAGAAGAAAGACCTAGAAATTTCCTTCTGTAAAGATTCTGGCCAAGGAAACATTATAGAGCAGTTGTACTCTGTTAAGTGGGATCACTCCTGCATCTAACAACAATACCAAGTTTGTTGTTGTTAAGTACCATCCAGTTGGTTCCAACCTATAGTGACCCTGTATAGGGTTTCTGAGGAGCAGCTGGTGAGCTTGAACCACCAACCTTACAGTTCAAACTTACTTTGCAGGCCAGTGCATTGACCCACAGCCCCATACCATGACTCCAATAGCCGGTTTAGCAAACTAGAATTTTTCTACAGCAGGGAGATAGTAATGAACACGTTTATCTACCTAGGAGGGGCACTTGTGGCATTGTAGGATAAACATCACTAGTCTGCTAACCAAAAGGTCAGCTGTTCAAATCCACCAGCCGCTCTGTGGGAGAAAGTGGAGAGTTTCTGCTCCGGTAGAGATTTACATCTTTGGAAACTCTGTGAGGTTGCTGAGTCAGAATTCTCTGTTGCAGTGGATTTGTTGTAGTATTGGTATTATCTTTCTGGAGTCCTAGTGTGGCACTATAGGATAAGCACTGGACTGTAAGGTCAGTTTGAACTGCAAAGTTGGTGGTTCAAACTCAGCAGCTGCTCCTCAGAAATCCTATACAGGTTCCTTATGAGTCGAAAAGGACTCAAGCGCACTTAAAAACAATAGCATTATCTAAGTTTCCACTTTTTGTGATCGCCTGACATATATTGTTAAGTGTTTTCTAGTCGGTTCGAACTCATAGCCACCCTGTATAGGGTTTCTGAGGAGCAGCTGGTGGGTTTGAACTGCCAACTTTGTGGTTCACAACCCAGTGCTGATTCTACACTGCCACTCCAGGAGTCCATAATAGAGGAGGACATATTATATGTACCCTGCTAATCTAAGAAATATTTCTATGTTGCTTTGAGGAGAACTTGTGTTGTGAAGATTTTATAGAAACTATTTTCATGGTGGTATCTTCCTTTAGGCCATTTTGGATCTGGTGTTGCCTCCTACTTCATATTCCTGAGATGGTTGTTTGGAATTAACATTGTGCTTACCATAATGACAGCTGCTTTTATTGTCATTCCAGAGGTAAGAACTGCTTGAGGAGAAAAATCATACTACTTATTTTAAAGGGGAGACTTTAAGAGGCGTGACCTAAAACAACTACTCTTGCTATTCTTAAGGGGAGGATAGTGTATGTTTTAAAACAGGGATTGGCATTTTTTTTTGTTTGTGAAACAGATAGTAGATATATGTTGGTTTGC